ACATACATACATACATACATACATACATACATACATACATACTGTAAGCCTCAGAGCTTTTTCAACCGATCGATATTCGATAGGCGATATTTACCATCTATCTACGATTCTAGCTTGCACAGAAGCGTCCACGTACTCCGATGAAATGCACTGATTACAGGCTTTTTTTCGAACCCTGTGTAAAATGCATGGACAGGCGTCGACAGGGAACTCGCCGCCGCGGCCACCGCTCACGCAATGGACCTCAGCAGCGTATTCGCATTCCTTCGGACAAGACGTCTTACCGTCGTCAGCACGCTACTGTGTTCATTCTGTTAGCTAATATTCACAATAAACAATATTATTTCTGTTGCGACCGTCTCTTGGAGGGTGCCCAAGACCAAAATGGTAGCAGTGAGTGGTTTCAGTCGACCGACCTCTGCTTTATGGGCCCAGCACGCTTCCACTGCGCACCGAAATCCACCGAAACACTGCTGAAGCTCGACGGGAACAAGGACCTAAAAGTCCTTCGATTTTTAGTCGATTCGAGAGGAGCACCATTTACACCCGCAGACCTTCATGTATCCCGGAGTCTACTGGCCAATTTTACAGATGCGTTTGAACATTCGGAGCGCCTTCTCCTCACCAATTACGCTCGCATCCGTTTTCCTCAACGCTTATTATTGGGCCCCAAAGCTACTTTCCATCTGACGGAAGATGAGCAGTACAGGATTGCAGAGAACTACAATTCGAGGATACGGAGGAAGCAGTGAAAATCACGCTTCGCTTGTGGTTCCCCGACATAGTGTGCATGACAACGTCGTCCCTGTTGACTGTTAACTGCGCAGGCGGGCTCTTTCTGTGGTGTTCTCAGAAGCAGACGTCATTATCGGAGACAAGGCGTCTCAAACACTTGCGCCTGCCTCCGTGGCTTCGGCGTCTCGTTTCACCAGCGAACGCCACATTTACATCGGAGACATCAACCAGTTGAGGCCTTACCTTCGCTGTCCTCGCTTCGTTCCGTTGGCAAAGGACTCATGACACTCCTGATACGGGAGGACCTTCCATTCGCGCCCCTCGTGACATCCTTTTGAGCACAACCTGCCCTTCATAGCCTGCCTAACTCAGTCGTCCATGGAGGAACTCTGGTTAACGGATCAACAGTTCGGCAACGTCATCTGCTCACGCGTCGCCTTGCCCTGCCCAACCCAGATGTCTCCTTCGTTTTCGTCGACATCCGCGGCCATTCTCGAGTACCTTCCGCGCAGTCCCATTACAACCCCGAGTAATCTCGCTGCTGTGAAGAGCTCGTGTGTGCAAACTTGGCGAAATGTGTCGGCGCTTCTTCCGTCACACTCATCACATTTTACAAAGAGCAACAGCGACGACTTGAAGACATCTTGCATCGTCTCAGCGTCCCGCATCTTACTGTCGACTCAGTCCAAGGTCAGGAGATGGATGTCGTTGTTATACTTACTCTTCGAACTAAAATTGACATGGAGTATGGAGACTTCCTAAATGCCATCCGCAGACTCAATGCAGCGATTACCCAATGTAAGCACGGCTAATTCATTCTAGATCATGTTGATGTTCTTCGACGACTGCTGAATTGGGGACGCGTCCCTCAGTGGACTTACGACCGAAACGCCATCGTGGACGCCAACACTCTCCAAGATATTTTCGCGTAATTACTTTCCATCCGATAACAAATATCACACTATTATTCAATCACGAGCACGATCCACACTCATTCGTATAACGCTTTTTTCTTGTTTTCTTCGGGTTTGATCATGGGCTTTTTTCTGACCCGCATTCACTTATGGTTAGCAGTCTTCTATTTTTCCGTTTTCTGTTTTGGTTGAGGATGGCACAAGGCTTCCCTGAAGGAATACGGACAATCTCTATCTACCTTCTTCCCGTCATTGAGTTTTCCAAGTCCGAGGCGAACCTACTTGGGTAAAGGGCGTATAAAATGCATGGAGAGGCGACGACAGGGAACTCGCCGTCACAGCCGCCGCCCAGCCAACGGACCGCATATTTGCCTTCGGGCAAGTCATCTTGCCGTCATCAGCACGCTGTACTGTATTCAGTTTGTCAGCTATTGTTCACAATAAACTTTTATGTTATTTTCTGTAGCGACCGGCTCTTGGAGGGTACTCAAGACCAAACCATACATACCTACACGCACACACACATCGCACGTACACACATACACACACTTCACCACACATACATACATATGTACACATACATAAACACATACACATATACACACACCCGAACAACTTCTTTTCCACAAAAATGGACAGATTTTGAAAGGGATCAGGAAGGAACGCGCGAAAACTAGGATTACGGAAAAATTTATGCAATGAAGGTCTACGATGTACAACTCACCTTTTCCACATTGTCCGGCCGTGAGAGGACTTTGGGAGGCTGTTCCCGCAGTTTTGCTGGTTGTGCAAGACCCAACTTCTGAGTACTGTTCTTCAACCCACCTTCTACATTTGTGGGAAGAGCATTCTCTTTGAGTGCATTCTTTTGGGGTTTAGGTTCATGTGATACAGCACACGACCCTGGTCTCAGGAGAGGTTCATTTACTACCGACAGATCGATTCCTTGAGAATTTTTTGTTTCAAAAACCATTTTAGGACACGGCTGCTCTTTCGTTGCGGCGGGCTTATTCGTTTTTCCATCTGGTTGAAGCCAGTAGTCCACAAACGATTCCTGTTCCTTTGGAGCATGAATCTTACTTCCCGCCTTCACCTCTTGAGATGGTCGAGAGGTTTCCGGGACTCCTTGATGAGCTCCACTTTCGGCGTGACCTCCTGCAGCAGGCACGGGGATTTCGTCACTTTTATTGCCTTTCTTCTCTCTTCTTTTCTTCTGAATTGCAAAAAACATCCAACTCTCTAATAGGATAGCACCATAAGAAGACCTGGATCTATGAGGAAAATTCCTCAATGTATTTATGTATGTATGTATGTATGTATGTATGTATGTATGTATGTATGTATGTATGTATGTATGTATGTATGTA